TGGTGCCACGTTCAAAGTTCATTTTGAGACTTTCAGTTAGTGCCCTCTAGTGGTATTTAAAATCCCTTGTTTTACAGGGAACATTGGAGAATTACTGTTTCAACTTCATGCACATCTGAAGTCTACTCAAAAATCTCAGTGATTATTAAAACACACTGAAACACGTCATTTTCTTCGTAATTACAAACCATTTAAAAATTGGGGATTTTTTTAAGTGTGAAAAAATTCTGTTACAGTGTCATATCAAATTTATATGTTATTAATAGCTATTTGTAACCTATTTCATCATGTATTGTAATATATTGAGATGAGGGTAAATAAATTCTTTAGGAAAAGCACAATTTTTTAAAAAATCAGAAATTCTAAAACATCTCAATTTTTCAATTTAATAGATTGATATGCTGCTGAAAGAGTATTTACTCTCTGGAGATATATCTGAAGCTGAACATTGCCTTAAGGAACTGGAAGTACCTCATTTTCACCATGAGCTTGTATATGAAGTAAGATTACTTTGATATTCCAAAGAGAATAATTGTGTTCCTTTATGCATTACAGTGACTTAATGCTTCTTTAATAACATACATCTTTTTCTTTTAAAAAATTGACATTAATGGAGAAAGTTTTTAAATTTTTATGTTTATTGTTTTGTATTAGAAAGGATCTGATTCATTTTAGGAGCAGTTTCTTATATGAATTAATGACCAGAAATACATTCATTCATTCAATTTTTAGGCCATTGTAATGGTTTTGGAGTCAACTGGAGAAAGTACATTTAAGATGATTTTGGATTTATTAAAATCCCTTTGGAAGTCTTCTACCATTACTGTAGACCAAATGAAAAGAGTAAGTGTAACATTATTTTGAACAATTTTAAGGCTTATACCTTAAATATGTAATGATTGAATAAAGATTATGAATTGTTAATGAAATATTTCTTTAGATAGGTTTAGTGGTATTACGTCTATAGTTTTTTTTTTTTTAATGGCAGTGTTTATGTTTGAATCTCTTCTAGTCATTTTTTGGAGAGTATTGGTTCTTTTAACCTGAATTTTATTTTACATTTTATTTTAATTTTTATTTTTTTAATGTTAAATAAAAATTTTTAAAATTTTTTCTTTTAAACCTGTATTTTAAAAAATGTGATTGTTCTTCCTCAAGCGTTCTATTTCTAAGATATGGTAATTTGTTTGTATCTAGAGAGAAACATGAACATTTAACAAACTACTTTTAAAGTACATAATTTATTCCTATTTAGAGTTGTATGCATTACTATTAAAATGTTGGTGAGGTTCTTTTTATTTTTGAAAAGTACAGTAAATGTACAGGGGTGGGCAAAAGTATAGACTTAAAGTTTTGAGTATGTGAAAGTTTATTTTTGTACTACTTACTAATTTTTTTTTATTTGTGTTACAACTGTAAACCTACTTTGCCCTCCTCTGTATATAGAGAAGTTAGCTGGGGAAGAAATTTGTCCAGTATCTGATGTCTGCCTGAAGATCTGTTGAGAGAACAGTTTTAAATAAAACTTTATATAAAAATGTTCCTATTATCTATACTTTTCAAGGTTTAGATCTGACTTCAGTCTTATATGAACATTTAGCCTTAAATATAGCTTGATGACAGTAATGAGTTATATGACATTACATATTTTATATAGGCTAATAATTCTATATGTAATTTCATTGTTTTAGGGTTATGAGAGAATTTATAATGAAATTCCGGACATTAATCTGGATGTCCCATATTCATACTCTGTGCTTGAGCGATTTGTAGAAGAATGTTTTCAGGCGGGAATAATTTCCAAACAACTCAGAGATCTTTGTCCTTCAAGGTACTTTATTTATTACTTTCTCAACCTAAAATACCAGCTGAGGTGATTGGGAAGGCTAAACTAATTTCCTGTCATTCCAGTTCTGTCAGAAAAATAATACTATCTTTCCTGGACCCATTCAGGAGTGAAAATTGTCTATTTTGTGTTTATGGGAAAAAAAGGGCGAAGTTTATTTTGCCCCCTTGTGAATCCAAACAGACCTACCTGATAAAGCCACTGGAAGGAAACCAATTTTGTGGAACAGTTCTGTGTACCAGGCTCTGTTCTAAATAGTTTAAATATTATTTCTGTATAGATATTATCATCAATAAGATGAGAAAATGAAGGCTTAGGAAATTGTAACTAATGTACTTTTTTCTAAGGTTACACATGTTAGAGGCCAAGGATGAATCCAGACTTTTTCTGGCTTCAAAGATCTATATTATTCCTGTACTCTACGTTGCTTCCTTTTGCTCCATTATAGAATGGAGAATTGGGGCTAATTGGATCTTAATTCACTAGAAAGTGTATATGAGATTCTTTGGAGGTAACATACTGGGTTGGGCAAAAAGTCTATCTGTTTTTTTTCTGTAAAATAAAAGACACTTTTTTCATTTTCACCAGTAACTTTACTGATTTGGATATTTTGAGTATGTTGGCTATCTCCTCCATGGAATAACATTGTTTGTTCTCAGTCTCTCTATTTGACGCTACCAACTTCAACTCGTCTACCTGACACTGGGGTGGAGCATAGTCCAACAAGAAATCTCCAGCACAAAACTTCACAAACCACTTTTGACACATTTAAACACCTTCTCCATATACTAAACTTTTTCTGCATTTCAGTTGCGTTTTTTTACCTTTCTTGAAATAATAAAGTACAATATGCCAAAAATGTTGCGTATTTTCTTCCATTTTCAGTGTTTAAATGACTACACAAAAATTCGCAAATTTTTATAAGTTGCTCTTTTTTAAATGCACTCTGATATGACAACTGTCACAATATAATCTAACAAAATTGTTTCAAATGATGTTAAAAACAACTAAGCACTACTAGCACCATGTTGTGAAAGAAACTAAACAAACTTTGATCAACCCAATATTTGTGCTACTAGCATCTGACTCTTTAGTAATCACTAATTTTCTTAATGTCGGTCTATTTTTTGTACATTTTAAATTTTTACAATTTTTATCAAAGAATTTCTAAGCTTTGCCTATTTTTATTTAAGTGTATTGTGAGTGTTAAATGTCAGAAAAGTATTTCCTGGTAGAGTCCTTTGTTCTAGAAAGTAGGAGCCATTAAGAGAGAAGGAAAAGATAACAGTGAAAGGTACAGTTTATAGCTTTGATAAAAATGTTTGAAAATATAGAACTCTACTTGATGATGGCACCCTTTATGTGCTGATGCTCCAAGTGGTATATACATCAGTAAAACTGTCTGCTTAGGCAAGACTTCCTTCTACTTACTGCTTTGTTCCTCAGCTGGTCTCCTAACATTACAGTCTACACCTTTATGTTCATGAAAATATAGCTGGTTTCCACTTGGTATGAAAAGGGGTCAACACCTTGGCACTGGCTTTTTAAGTTTCAGGCTCTGTTCAAAGGTCTAACTGATTACTTCTGTTGTGGCTTTACTCTGAAGTATCATTTCAAGAGATACCTAAACTTTTTATGTATCCCATACCATAGAACTTTGAATTTTTAGCCTCTCTTTTTTGCTTATTTAGGTGAAGTGCACATTCGTGGTCTCAAATGCCTTTGCATGTTGGTGTAGGGTCAGAGAATAAGGGCTAATTCTGCCCAAGCTCTGTTTTCTACTTACCACTTTAGGCTGTTGGTCAACTATTTCTCCTGGACTGTTGCTGCTACACATAGCTAGAATGTGGTTCTAGTACAGAGCAAGGTCACTTGAGATTGAAATAAGAAAATTCCTGAAATGGGGCATAGACTAGACTTAATTTTATTCTGATTCTGATTTATTTTTCTGTATTCAAGTTACGGCTTTTCTACATCTGAAACATTTTAAAAAACATTTTTATAGGGGTATTTGGATAGGTTCCTTAGCTCTAGTTTGCATAATTCCAGATTATATCGTTTCCCATTTGGTTTATTGTTTAGCTTTCAAATAATATTGATGACATAGTAGAAATAAATATTAAATTTCTTAAATAGGAAATGTTTGCTTTATTTATAGTTTAACTTTTTTACATGACTCCCTTTGAACAGTGAACTTAATTCAATAATTAAGCTTAATTTATTAAAGTAAAAAATGCAGTTCAGATTAGCAGTTCATTTGATATGCCCTAGTTGAGTCTTTTTCAAAAGATTTAGAGGCATACTGACCTTTCAAAACTTAATGAAGAACCAGGAAATACCAAGTTTTACGTTTTTTAAATTGACCGTTAGTCAAAATTTATATCTGTTTTCATGTTTATGTTTTTTGCATTACAGGGGCAGAAAACGTTTTGTAAGTGAAGGAGATGGAGGTCGTCTTAAACCGGAGAGCTACTGAATATAAGAACTCTTGCAGTCTTAGATGTTACAAAAATATATATATCTGAATTGTAAGAGTTGTTAGCACAGTCTTTTTTTTTTTTTTTTTTTTTTAAGCACTTGGGTACAAGGCATTTCTGAAATTTTATAGACTTAAATTTAAGGGGAATTTTTAAAGGAAGTGTTTTTCTTTTTCTTTCATTCTTTCTAAATTTCTTATTGTCTTTATTTTTTTGACGGTATAAAGGAGGGACAGAAAAGTAACCACTTGTTAAGTGGAATATTCTCATAAGCTACCTTTTTTAAGTGCCATGTTTATGACCTAATCATTCCAAGTTTTGCATTGATGTCAGACTGCTACTCCTTTCTTTCAAGGACAGTGTTTTTGTAGTAAAATCACTGGTTTATACAAAGCTTTATTTAGGGGGTAAAGTTAAGCTGCTAAAACCCCATGTTGGCTGCTGCTGTTGAAATACTGTGCTTTGGGATTTAAAAAAAAAGTTATTTGTCTTAAAGAATTTTAAGAAAATGAGTTAGTCATGAGACTTATGCATCTTTCCAGGGAACATAATGATTGGTCTTAAAAGACTAGACAGTTAAGTAAATGGTGGCTGGAACATCTTATTTTTCTACAAAACTGGAAAATTGAACCTGGTTCTAGAAGAATGTGTGACAAAATAAAACATGTGAAGCAGTGTTGATTCTTTATTGGGAGTACATTTATTTTAGGCTTTAAAAAATTTATTTCACACAAATTTTAAATCACATAAGGTGTGTATTTGAACCTAGTGAGTTTAAACTTTGTTCCTTAAAACTTATTTGCTGCTGTTCTTCTCTGCCATTTCTTGTTGGCGAATCGTTTCCTGTGCTGCTTGTTGCATTTTTTCCAGTTTTTCCAGAGTCAGAGATTTTAAGGGTAAAAGTTTGGGTTTACACAGCACCATTGTGGTTATATCTTCCACAGACAACTGACCTAAGTTAAAAAAAAAAGAATTAATTTGATTGAGATAACCTAGTTATTTGGTGGTTTGGTGGTTTGGATTTGCAGGTAGAATGGAGGTCTAAAAACTTGATAAAATCTCTTGTTTCTCATAGTTTACCCCTGTAACATTTCTTCAATATATTAAAAAAAAAATTTTAATGCTAGGGAGAGTTTGTGAGGAAGACAAGTTTTGAAATTTCTACCTAAGATTCTAAGCTACCACAGGACACAGAACTTTTTGTTGTCAAATATTTAATTTGAAAAGATTTGGGAGAAATGCATAGTGCTTAAAAAGACTTGCATAGTGTCTAAAAATTACTCAAATTACTAAATGTTTTACAGAAACCTTCAGCATTTCTTACTATTGCTTGATTGAGGTTTCTTTCTTTTATTCACATTCAGACCTTATTTAATATTGTGGATTATTACAGAGTTCTTTTTCATTGAAAATTTAGTATTGTAACCTATAATCTTTAGTATAACAGGATTTCTAGGTTAAAGAAATAACACTTTGTCACATTTTTATTGGGAAACATAAAAACGTGATGGATTACTTGACAATCTACTCCTGAAAGAAGCATAGTAGAAATGGACAGTAAATGTGGGATATACATAGCACAGTAATTTCATATTTTTAGCTTTTGAGCCTACTATGTGACACTGCCAATTACTTTTTTAGGTCCCCATAATATTCTGTGATCTAAGTACTTGTGATTTAAGTACCTTGTTTTGGAAGAACTTCCCGGAACATGGACTTCACTTCTGCCATATCTGAATTGTTAAATCCAGTTTTTCCTTCAATGAGAAATCAAGTATTAGTATTATTTAAGAATGGATTCCCCAACATATTGCTTGAGATATTTCCATCGTAATTTAAGAAGTAAAATCGCAATTCCCATATAAAAAATGAACTACTTATCCTGGTATATTTTTTCCCTTAATTTCCTGTGGATCTTTTAACTGAAACAAGGTTGAGATAGTTCATGCAAGCATCTAGATCTTGTCAACTTCTACTAGTCAGTAGTGGTGTTAATTGGAAGGCTGCATAGTCTACATTTTCCCCCTTCCTAGTGAAAAATTTGTACGGCGTTTGTTTTAGATGATGGTAGTGATCCAGTAGTACTAGCTGAGGAAAAATAAGGGCATTTATGTGCATCCACCTTGATGTACTGATAGCATCTCCTCTCAGTGCCTCACTTAAATAACATGACCATTTGGGAGGTGGTTAAGTGGTAGGGAAAGAATGAGGTAGGAGGTAAACATTTCCTAACTTTCTCACTTCTCTTAGTAGCTAACAGCTGGTTTCTACTTTAACCCTTGTGCTATAATGACAAAAGTATCCTAAGGATAAGTTAACTTGGCTGCACAGCTGCAGGTTCTAAGGAAGTAACAAACAGGTGAAATTAGGCCTTGAACAAGTTGAGGTATGCTTTCAATTTTGTTTCCCTCTGCAAAAATACCATATGCTAAAGTACCCACAAACACCCTCGTTTGAGTCTTTTGTTAGGACTATTCTAGCATATATGCCATTTTGGGCTGATGACATTTGTTCCCACTGTTACATCCCAGATTACAGATACGTTATATATTCAAGGTGTTCTGGATGTAGTTTGTAGCATGGTCCCTTTCTAAACAGGTGCTTCTCCAGATAGTTCCACCCATTTTATGATATTTCGCCATACTGATGCATCCTTACCATGTGTCTTTCACAACATCACCAGCACAAAAGATTTATTGTTTGTAAAGTGGTAATGCTGGCCTGGTGCCTGCCTTAACCGCCCACTGCAAATGAGCTGTAATCAAGTGAAGCTGCTTCTGGTCTTAGTTATTCCCACTCCACTACTACATTCACGTTCCTAGTAAAAGCTTCCTACTTTCATTCACCAAGCCTCTCCCTGCTCAAATTCCCATTCTGGAACATCTATGCAGCAACTTTACCCTACGCCGCTCTTTCCAGCAGTGAAGATTAGGGAATGGGCCAGGAATAAAGCAACTCCTCCCTAACTGGAATGTGAGATAAATATGCCATATGTATGCAATTTCCTTAAGAGTGCACAACTCCTCTTGAGACATTTTTTTTCTTCGTGTACTTCGGCCTGCCAGTGATAGGTACATAGTGATCATTTCCCCCCTTTTTTTCCCCAGATTATGTTGAAGGCTAACAACATTGTCAATTCCTGATTAGCTTGAATATAACCAAAATGACATGAAACCTCTCTAAGATAAAAGCAATGAAAACATGCATTAGGCCCTTATTTGGACCTAATCTGACAGGACATGCCACTGAAGGGGAGGATATACAGTATAGGTGTTGATAAATGTGAAAGAAATAACAGCTACATGTTTTTATATTACCAGATATTTTTATCACCGAAATGCTAAACTGGTGGGTGACCCAAAATCAATTCTTAGCTATTTTATAGATTAGCAGTGCAGGCCACCCAGAATTCAATCTCTACCCTTTGCTTTCTGTAGTCTATCTCTTTCACACCCAAAATCTGGCCTGAGGAAAACAGTGAAACCTGGTGCACTCTACCAAACCTTAGTTCTCGGTTGCTGTTGGTATAAGAAGGGGTGTGGGGATTGGTGCCATCACCCGCCTGGGTGGAATGTCTGCTTTACTAAGGTTGGTTCTTGTTCCTAGTCCCCTCTGTGCGTCGGCGGGAGAGGAACAGGAAGGGAAGGGCTAAAATAAGCATGGTGGTGGCTGGATGGCCACACTGGCGAGGCTGTCTTGTTAATCAACTGCCCAGGGAGAGGAGGAAAGAGCATTTATTTCCTTGTCCAGATGGACTACTAATAGCCAAAGGTGGGTGTTTTGTTTGGTGTAACATGCCATAAGGAACTGTGTGGCTGCTTCTAAGAGTCCTTTCTTATTGGTAAGGTAAGATGTGTGTAATACTGGAGACAGATGGGCCAAAGAAGAAATATCAGCTATGGCTGGAACTCATGTTTATCATACAACTGCTGGGTCATTCAGTTCAATAAATATGTGTCTGTCATGTGCCAGGCTCTAATCATTAGTGAACAAAATAGACAACAAAGACTTTGCCCTTTTGGAGCTTAGAGACTAGAGTAAGAGGAGAGAAATAATAGAATGCTAGAAGAATGTGCCATAGAAAATAAAATTGTTTAAGGGGATTTAGGAATGCTGGGGGTCATGGTATTGCAATTTAAATAGGAAGATCACTGTGGGCTTCATTAAGGTAAAGTTTCCTCATTTGGTGCGTATGTTATGTCTCTAAAAATCACAAAAAAAGTCAAGAGCCTGTTAGTATTTGCATTTAGGGAGGGTACAGAGAAATCGGTGCTCTCCATGGTTGGGTGGGTTTGTCTGTACAGCTCTTTCAGAGGGTATTTTGTAGTAGCTACTTTGTAGTATTTTACCAAAACTAAACATGCACATTTCTTTGACCCAAGGTTTCTAGTATTGAGCCCTAAAGAAACAAAGCATGAATGTATAGAGTAACAATGCTCCATAAAGCACTGCATTGAATAGCAAAATGTTCAGCAATATGTCAAAGGTTAAATTATGGAACAGGTATACAATGGATTACTATGTCAGATTTTTAAATGACACTGCTTGTGGAGAATGTAGTGTCAGTCATTTTTTGAAGCTCTTGGTCTGGGTAATTAGAAAATAATGCGTGCTTCCTTTTCTCCCATGGTTCCTTTAGTTTATAATCTCTCCTAGAGATAATGGGTTTAGGTGGGTAGTACATTTGAAAGACAGGACAAAGTAAGCAAAGCCATTTGGGCTGGATGTCTAAAATTAGAAGAATCTGGAGGGAAACCAAGTCTTTGTCATGAAATATTTTACTAAGCCGTAGGAGTGAGACTCGAAAGACACTTAAGTCTAGAAAGGATTACTGCTTTAAATCAATCATACACATGCTGAGAAGTAAATCACACAACTAGTGTAAGTTAAAAATAGCTAGGGGGATTTAGTCTGGTAATGAAACTAACTTTTGGGTGTGGGAGTAGATAAGAGCAGTGAAGCATGCTTCTGATCCTTGAGAATACATATTGGTGGCTCTCAAATTTTATGCTTTCATAGTCCCCTGAGATTTTGAAAAACTAGGTAGAAAAACTATGTACTCCTTTACATATTTGTAAATTGACACACAAATTTGTTATCAGTTTAAGTAGTTACAAAGGATATAATTTCCAGCATACTTAAAAATAACTCATATCAGTCTTTGAGAAGTATATCCAATGTAATTTAAATATTATAGCAGTTTGATAGCTATCACCATCTATTAACTTTAAAAGGAATAATTTATTTTTTAGATATTTTACATTTTCTCCCTAGATCTCTATTTCTAGTCCACTTTATTTTAATGTAATGCATTTTCCTGTGTGCACACATTTTAATGATCATCCTACCATACTTCTCTGCTACAAAAAATGTAAATGAAAAAAATTTGAATTGAGTTACAATTAGTGGAAAATTGGTTAAAAATTACACATTAATAAAATAATGACTGAATATAAAAAATAAAGTTAATGGCTGTGGCTAGGGTGGCTCAGTGGATTGAATGCTGGCCTGTGGACCAAAATGTCACTGGTTCCATTCCCTGTCAGGGCACATGCCTGGGTTGAGGGCCAGGTCCCTGCTTGGGGGCACACGAGAGGCAGCCAACTGATGTTTCTCTTTCACGTAAATGTTTCTCTTCCTCTCTTTCCCTTCTCCTCTCTCCAAAAATAAATAAAATCTTTAAAAAAAAAAGTTAATGGCTATGTTAAGGATGGTGCTTTGGATGGGAACATTGGGCAGTAAAGATAAGTAGAAAAATACACTGTTTTTGGTGACAAGAATTATCCTGTCAGAGTGGAAAGTAAATAGAAGTGGAATTTGGGATCATATGTGCCAGTGCAAACAGACTTTTTCTTTCAACAAAGATAGGAAATGTCAATAATGTGCCAGCCACAGCTAAATGAGGGAGATACAGTGGATAAGAACCAGTTCCTCTCCTTGAAGAATTTGAGGGAGGTGGGATCAGGGAGAAACACTTGTAAATAAATAGTTACAGTGGAAAATAATGTAGTTTAATAGAAGCATATCTACTGTGCCTTATGAAACCAAGAGCATGAATGACTTGGCTCAGGGTGTGACAATGGCTGGTCTCTGAAGAATTACTACACATGATGTGGACTAGTCCCAGGAGGATAAATGGGGGTTTACTATGAAGAGAGGTAGTTGTCTAGCAAGGGGAGGGTGTTCTAGACAAAGTGAAAAGTATGTTCAAAGAAAAGCATTAAGAAAAGCCCAAGGAAATGGGAATGGTGTACACCCAGTATATGTACTATGGTGGGACTGGCTGGGTGGAGGCTGGTCGTGCTCAGCCTCCACTGCCAGGACTTGGAGTTTGAACTTCATAGATAGGAGGGAGGTAATTGGATGGCTCTGAGTGGGCTTGTGACATCTCATTTTTTGGAAAGACATTCTAGATAAAAAGGAAAAGACACTAGAGGCAAAGAAATTAGTAAGGAAGCTATAATTGTTTAGGTGAGGTGATTAGGGTATGAACAAAAGCAGTGATAACAGGCACTAAGAAGATAACGAGGCATTCCAGGATATATGGAGTTGAGGTTTAAACCCCCATCACCACTCTCCCTGTCCCCCCCCCCCCCGCCCCCGCCTTGGTGATAAGGAAATGACCAAAGTTGACTGACATTTCAAGCTCTAACATGTTTGAGTGGATGGTTGCAGGTATTAATTCAAGTTAGGAACACAAGAGAAACAGGAGGAAAGGGTAAAGACCATGAATTAGGTTCAGCCCCACTGAGTGTGG